TCCTCAGGTGGCCCTGCTTCTGCTAAGAGTGGTGGTAGGGTCCAACCTGAAGCATCATTTGCCCCGAGGGAAATAGCCTCACATCTCAGCATGCTGGAGTTCAGGGTCATTTTTTTTTTCCTCATTGGGTTTATTGGTATATTTGAGGTATACATTACAGTTACAATTATTGTTGGGGTCTTGTACCTTTACATGTCAGGTCTTGTTTCTCATTTTTCCCCTTGTCCCTGCCCTCCCTCCAGTCCCTATTCCCTTCCTCATTTACAAACTTTTTCTTTAGATTTTATTATTTTCTCATTTTTTTCTTCCCCTTACCTCTGCGCTACACTTCCCACTCTCCCTACACCTTAAGCCTTTTTCCTCCTATTTCACATTGTCAATTTTCTCATTAAGATATTATGTACTATTATAGTTTATACACACCAGAGAAAATATTCGGTATTTACACATGTGTGATTTATTTATTTCACTTAGGAGTATATCTCATTCAGGGACATTTGGCAGGGCAAGCCAGGCAGTCTATGCTACTTCTGTTTATTCAACCCATTGAGCCAAGGCCATTGTTCTGTTCAATGTGTCGTGTTCCTTCAATGTCCACATGAGATGGGTAGGACTGGAATTTTGAGTGAGGAACTAGATATTGAGGTTATATATTGGGAGAAGTAGCATCAGAGTCAGTGAGGCAAAGTTGGAAGGCCCAGATATCAATTCAGTGTCCACAGAGGCTGGCAGAGTGTCAGAGTGCACAGTGAGTGTTAGGGCCATGACAAAGCTCAGCTGTCATAATGCCGATGAGTTGGCAGTCCGGAACTGTGGTCACCGTTGCCAGGGAGGGGTGGATTGTGGGAACTGTGGAGACAGCAGCAACAGGCTAGGGCCTGAGTGTCATGCCCATCCATTCAGGATAGTCTCCTGGCTCCTGCTTAAAGAAACACATGAGAGGAGGCTCTGAGGACATTGCGGACTTTTGGCTCTCAGTCCTGGTGGCACTGGGTGGAGGGCATCAACCATATTCATGACCACATCCCAGAAGTCAGCAAGTGCATGAGTGGATACTCTGTCTTTCACCTTTTCGCGTCATATTAAGAGAGATTTAGTCACTGTAGCTGCCAGTTTGCCTTTGTCTGTGGTTTTCATGTACATCAGAGTTTTACCAAACTATTTCACAGGACTTTTGAACAGTTATAACCCTCCATCTCCAGACTTTTTCGCCATCCTTCCAACTGGGTAAATCTGTGGCCTGCAGCAGCCTCCTAAGTCTCCTCAGTGGCACTGGGAACTCTTTTCTCCCATCAGTTCCTGGTGTTTACACTGCAACGATGGCATTTATCACATCCTACAGGACTGGTCCTTGTCTGCCTGCGTTGTCCTTCAGTCTGGACAAAATGCTCTGCTTCAGGCCCTCTTGCAGCCCCAGACACAGTCTTGTGCTTGTTAAGGTCCAATATCTTGTGTAGCCTTTCCTGTAGTTTCTGAAACAGAACTGCTTTCCCTGCTGCCTGCTTCTCATAGAGGTCCCTTTCTGTGTTTCCTTCTTTTCCCCTAGCTAGCCACCAAGCTCACACAGTTGGCACCCTCCATTCCTCAGCTCTCTCCTCCAAATTCCTGTCCCCTTTTCCGCATGATAGCATGGTACTCACTGTGACAAGCCCACTGCAGAAGCCTGTGCCCACTCAGCCACTGCAGGAACAGGGGCCCATCAAAGCCTCATTCATTCATCACTTCCACATGTCCCTATTGCCATGGCTGTCTCCCCTTCAACTCCCCCATCCTCATTTCCCTGCTTCTTCCTTCTATGGCTGTCCCACCATACTAGAATTCACCTCACATGTCAATGATTTTCTCCCTATCCATCAGGCAGAGGATAAAAGCCACCAGACAGCACTGTTGAAATGGAATTTGGACCTAGCTAAATAGGGAATCCAGCACCTCATCACACTTCCACCTGTTTTGCAAGCACCCTGTAAAATGGCACTGTGAGAAAAGAAAGTGTTGGATTCAGTCTGGGATCTAATGGTGTTTGAGACTTCTCCAGGTATCCCAGTTGTGCTCACACACCCTGGATTGCTCAGTGAAATCTTGGTACACACATCCCCTCCCTTTTGGAAGGGATATGTCCTTGTGGAATGGCTGGAAAATAGGACTGGGCTGTTAGCTGGAGGCTTGTGTGATGCGAAGGGGCAAGTGACACCCAGCCAGGATCTTTGGGCTTGATGCCAGCTGCGTCTTTTCAGAAGGTCGTCCTCCCAGGCCTGTACCCAACCTGAGCAGGACCCTATTTTCCAGTGGAAGGACACGCCCAACAGGTAGCCTTGTCTTCCTCAGGTGGCCCTGCTTCCCCTAAGAGTGGTTGTACTGCCCAAGCCCAATGGTTAAATGCTTATTGGCTCTGAGGAAAACAGCTACCTGTCTTACTGTGCTGGTGTTCAGGGACGTTTTGCAAGGAAACCGCAGTCAGTCTATGCTGCTTCTGAGTCACCCACCTGTGGAGCCAAGGCCATTGTTCGGTTATAGGGGCCCTGCCATCTCCACCTCCACATGAGAAGCAAAGGGTGGGAATGTTGAGGGAGGCAATAGATACTGTGAATATATTGAGAGCAGTTGGATCAGAGTCAGTGAGGAGAATTTTGAGGTTCCAGATTTCAATTCATGTTGTCTGAGTCTGGCAGAGTGTCATAGCACAGGTTGAGAATCAGGGTGATGACACAGCTCAACTGTCATAATGCCAGTGTGCTGACAGTTCGGAAAGTTAGCCGTGGTGTGGGGGAGGGGTAGAATGTGGGAACTCTGGAGACGTCAGCAGACAGGCTGGGCCCTGACAGTCATCCCCATCCACTTGGGCACATGTCCCGCCTCCTGCCCAAACATGCTTGACAGAAGAAGCAGTGAGGACAGCATGAGGATTTTTGTCTCTCACTCATGTGGGCCGAGGGAGGAGGGCATACTGTGCTTCTTGAGCAGGTCTTCTGTTTATGGGAATAAATTTCCAGTGACAACCCATGTGCCTCTCACCAGGTTGCAGGTACAACTCAGGTTTACGGAGAGTGTTCCCCTCACTTTGTTATTGTCATCACCCTTCATCTCCAGACTCTCTCACCTTCCTTTCCCATGCAAAGCTCTGTAGCCCGGAACTGCAACCTGAGGCTCCTCCCTGTACCCTGGCCCAGGGAACCCTTTGGTCCTATAGTTTTCAGGGGTTCACACTCTAATGTCCTCACCGAGGGAAGCACACAGGAAGGTTCTTTGACTGTGTGGTGCCCTTTGCTCCATCGGAAGATGTCTCCCAGGGTCCCTCTCACAGCACTTGAGCAGGCCTATGCCTAGTTAAGGCCCAGGATGTCGGTTCACCTATTTCTGAGTCTCTGACACAGAACTCCTGACCTCCTTCCCATCTCCTCTGAGCTGCCCATTCCTGGTTTCCTCTTTTTGCTCTATCCCCCTTGGCTGTGCCTCAGTGTACCTCCATTCCACTGATCTTGCTCCTCATTTCCCAGGCACCAGAAAAAAGTAAGACCCTCCTGGTCCCTACCAAACGGCCACTGCTGAGGACACTGGACCAACACAGGCACCGCTGG